AATTGTTCAGTAAAAACATACCCAGGCACAAAGTGAATATGCGCATACAATCTTTTTAGTGCAATCACTAGCCCAGTAGATATAAAATCAACCTATGGTCCACAAATAACCTTCTTAGATTGTGTTGCCACAATAATTACAAGTAAACAGCATTTTTGATTATGGTTTATGTATATTGTCTGTAATTGGGCCCCTATATATGTTTTAACTTGATATTATTAATAAATACATGTACTTCTTTTTATCAATGGGTTTTAATATTGGCGTTCTTACATATAAGACACCAGGAAAACAGATTTTTTAAAAACTGTATGCACTACCAGGAATAAGAGAAATAAGGTGGTTCGGTAATGAGACTTAAAACTATTTACAGGTAAAACACAGCTTTTGCTGGGTACATCATAATGTTTCAGGTGTTGACTCATGGGTACACAGAACAGTTAACAGCTGAGTTTGTATTCTTCTTCTTCTTTTTTTGTCTTAACACTTGAGAGCCAGTTCTCCGCAGGGCTATTGTGAGGATGAACAGCAGGCGAGACGAAAATTAGCACTATCCAGTCCCGTTGATTTCAATAGGAAAGATGTGCGAAGTGGGCGACGGCCGCTTTCGACAGTTTGGGCAGTTATTTGCCCAACGCATCGCTCCCCAGCGAGGGGGGGGGACAAGCAGGCAGCAGCGCGAGAGAGCTCTCTCAGCCCCACCTACCTCACAAGCTGTCTGTTGTGGGGAGGGGAAGGGAAAGGGATTGTAAGCCATTCTGAGACTCCTTTGGGTAGTGAAGGGTGGGGTATAAATCCAATCATCATCATCATTTCAATACAACTTCCAATATTACAACAAACCAGTTATAAAAAGAAACCAAGTAACTTAGGTTAATACATAAAATAATAATACATTATCAGCAATAGTAGTAAAAAAATATTAATATATTTAACAATCTATCAAACAGAACGTTATATATGAACATACCGGTAGATGTCATAACAGATTTAGAGATGTCATTCCTTACGGGACTACATCATGTTCAGACAAGTAATCTAACACAAGAAAACATCTCTCCTCCAATGTTCCCTCTAAGCTGTGGAGTCTTGTGTGCAAAAATTATACTTTGTGAGCAACTGGCATTAAAGCTGTGAGCCAGCTATTTGGCTACTGCATAAATTAGTTTGCTCTGGAGCCATCCTTCCTGAGCTAAGACAAAAATCTGTGAGCTGGAGGCTAAAAAACTGTGAGCTAGCTCACACTAACTCAGCGTAGTGGGAACACTGCTCTCCTCATAGCTAGAGTGTGAGGGATTAGATTCATATTTATTTATTTGGTCAGTAATTTTCTCCATCACATATTGCTCTCAAATCTTACGATGCCATAATGAAAGAGTCAGTGCAACAGGATTTTTCCAATTTAGGGCAATAGCCAATTTTGCTGCTACCAAAAGAGTGGAGATGAGCTCCTTTCTAATACATGGAATTGTTGCATCTGGCCAGTGGTTCAAAAACACCACCTCAGGAGAAAAAAGGGACTACACAACGAGTAATTAGAGATATTTGAGAACTTATATTTTTGAGGTGAGTTTTGGCCTTCCCTCAGCCTCATTTCACATGGTGTAAATGTGAGCTCCTCTCAGAAACCACAAATCTTCACTAGGCTCTCCTCAGAAATTGGGCTTTGAGACAACTATAGTAGCTTTCTAAAGCATTCACTCTGGTAGCCTGCTTTATCACAGAAGACAGGCTCTTCTAAAGTCTCCTGAGAAAGGATTCCCATCTCCCCCCTCTATAAGTGTAACCTCATCTTGTGGGTTCTGTGGGGCAGAACTTGGAATGACTCTTGCAATAATTCAAAAGAAATGAAAGATTTTTATTTTTCACTTAACATCATGTAATAAAAACATAGATCTTAGTAACACAGTAGAACACACGATTATTTTCCCCCCTCCTTCATAGCTTGCCCACCCCCGAAGTCCATCTCTTTCCTCACACGATTATTTTTTCCCCTCCTTCATAGCTATGCCCACCCCCGAAGTCCATCTCTTTCCTCTTGTTGGGGGCCCAAGAAGTCTCCAGCTGACCACTCTGTGCATCGGCTTCCAAGATGAAGGTCCCCATTAGATAGCACAGCCCTGAAACAATAACTCTAAAAGAGAACAAAAATCACCCTCCCTTACCAGTGTCCATCTGTAAATCATAGTTACCTTAAACAAGCTGTTAAGAGCCCATGATTAAGTTTGAGGTCCCCAGCAGGGCAGTCTTGCATCCCTCCTCTGCTTTCCACACATTCTGCACACTTCTGCATCTAGAGGCTCCACCCCTTCCTGGCTTGTTCCATTCCTAGCTAGGGGTTGCATAAGCACAGATGGTCTCAAGACATTCATTGATTTAGCCTGCTTGTACCCAATACAGATTCTGAGACTTGTATAGCCTTCCGAGACAAGTTCTCTTCCACCTAACACTCCAGAGACTCAAAGCCTATCTGAACTGAGCTGACAGTGTCCCAGCTTTTTCTCTCTCACTTCTTGCTGTCATCTGGTTTCCTCAGCCATCCATGGGCCCTGGTTGGTTTTTAGTGGCTCTACACAGACACCAACAAGCACACGGGATAGGTGACTAACAGAAAGGGGCAGGACATCTGCCTATCACACATGGTAATTCTACTAATTATTTGATTATATTGTAGGTCACTTCCACTCATTTTGCATCTTCCTGGCTGCAAATTGGACAACTAGTGGAAAGTAATAGCTCCAAACTTTTAAACTGGCAGGGCGCAAAAATCAGCTTTAGGTTTTTTAGTTGTTGTAGATTTTCCGGGCTGTATGGCCGTGGTCTTGGCATTGTAGTACCTGACATTTCGCCAGCAGCTGTGACTGGCATCCTCAGAGATGTAACACAGAAAGATGGAGTACTCTGTGTCAGTGTGAGAAGAAAAATGGTAGGCAGGTAATTTATATCTACTCAGGAAGGTGGGGTAGGGCTGAGTCATTATCTTGTAGGAGTTTCCCAACCTGTGACATGCTAATGGAGGCGCTTTCCTGAGGAGGTTCTTTTGCATATGGATTGGCTGTTGAAATTCTAATCTTATCTGTAGTGCTGTTGTAAGATGTACAGCATTTTGCGTTTTAGGTTTGTTCCTTTAAATGCATTCTGACTAAGCAGGAAATTTTGTGGAGGACTTTTAAGCCCAAGGTTAGTGAGGCTAAATCCTCTGAGGAAAAATTAGTTTCCAGACAGTAAAATGAAAATTCTGAACTAACTGAGCTATAATCTTTACATCTGGAATGCATAATTCCATTGATAACAACTTTTTAAATGCCCACAATAATTGCAATCTTTAGAAGCAGAAAATAATTTGCAAGTGTTCCTTTAATCAGGAAGAAGAAATTGCCAGTAGTGCCATTCTGTTCTATTCTGTTGGTATCATTTATTGGCAATAATGTTATGGGTTCCAGCAACAGTTATACATGTGAACTCAAGGCTGTTTTGAAACAAGCTCTCAGAAAACACTATTCAATATTTATCGCTGCCACATTCTGAAGAAGTCATTGAACCTGCCTAGGTAATGCGAGTTTTCTTGCAAACAAAAGCCTATTGCCCATATCTGTTTAAAAAGATAACTTGATAAGGAGCTAACAGGGGCTAACAAAATATAGCTGGAAATGTTTCTGCCCTGTTTTGGCAGATCCAACCTTAATGAGCATTAAGAAATAATGCCCTTAGTTAGAAACGGCTGTTGCCTATTTCTGCTTTTGAATCTTCTTTAAAAATTGAACCCCCTTTACCACTTATTCCCTTCTTTGCTGAGGTTCTCTCAAGCTAAAGGGAGATGCTTAAACTTTCTGATGAACCTGTGATTGTAGTGGCTGGTCTATAAAGGTTTTGATGGATTGGTTATCGTTGCCTTGCTGTGTTTGCATCAGAGTCACTTAATTAAGATTTCCAGTCCAGAGTGAGCATTCTTTGCTCTTCTTTCTGTTGAAACATTCATTAGAACATCTGTGATAGCTGATGGGATTAAAGCATTGAAATTGAAAGCCAGGTTTCAGTTCTGATTCAGTTTCCAGCTATCCCAGAAATAGTGTTTTATCTTGTTGTTTTTCTAGCCATAGGTAACTTGTACCAAAATGTATCACATAGGCAGGTATTTCATTAATCTAGGCGAACTGAGTGAAGGGAAGTAGTTAATCAAAAGTGCTTTTGTAGCTAATGTTGTTAGTCTATTTAAGTGTGATGGTGATCTTGAGTGCAAAGGCAAGATGAAAATGTGCTGCTCCCAAAGAAACCATAAACTCTTTTTTTATTTTCCCATCTCAAATAACATCCTTCCTTTTCAGATAGATTTAAAGAAGCAATTAATAGCTTTACAGTTCGGAAGTGGCTTTAATTCTTTTTAACTTCTGCCGCCAATAAATACCAGAATCCTGAAGGCGCTAAAATACCACTACAGGAAGTTACTCTCTGGTATCCTATATATAGGTTCCTTTGCTTTGTAGCGACCAGATGAGATTTCATTATGCTCCTTGCCAAACGTTTCTCGGCTTCCCCTCCTCCTGGCCTTGAACTTTTACATTACCACAAGGATTAACTTTCTTTAGCAATAATTATTACTTTTGTATTTTCGACAAGTGTAGGTATACCATTGTTATTGCCCTGCAGAGAACAACTTTAAATGAAATAGAACACCTGGCATCACATAAAAAAGGGAAATGCTACATGTTCCCACAGTTTCTTACAGAATTAAGAGTAGGGGCTCTTTGTCAGAATGAAATTGAGGAAAAAGCTTTCATCCATAAATCTGTGTGATCTTCTTTACCCTAACCAGAGAAAAGTCTTACAAGACATGAAAAATAGGGTTTAAAGAAGTGCTTTCTGGTCCTCAGAGCATTATAATGTAGTCAGTCCCCTGGCCTCCAACCTTTATCTTCAAAGACAGCGGATACATCAACAGCTTGCAGATTATTTCTAGTGCATCACACAGTTTATTGTAGAATGGTGACTGTGTTGGCTCAGTGCTTCTGTAACATCGCCTGTTTCTAAAAAAATAATGCAGCCTGTTTCACAAACTAGTCGGGCTCCTGTTTCTTGAACAGCCATCACTCACGTCACAAAAGAGGCTGATTTCCCTGCCCCCTGCCCCCCAAAAAATCAAGATGAATTCCCAAGCGGTTTGTGACAGAGCATGGAGGCCTGCCCTGATGTGACTCCCACGTGGTTGAATGGCCAGCCTCATGAGGTCAGATAGGTGCTCATTCTGCATATTACTTCTTGCATCGTTCTGCAAAATATATTTATTTACTCAAAACATTTATGCTGCCTTTCCACCAAAATAGCTTTTCCAGGCAGCTAAAATTTAGACATTTTAATATGAAACCATTAAAACAGCATTTAAAATATAGCTGTATATAAAATATTTAAACAATTCAACAGAAGATATAAACGAAACATAAGAACGCAACCAGGGAGGAGGGCCAACAACAGTTAATAGAGGAATGCCAAACAAAATGAAAAAGTCTTCATCCACTGGTGGAAGAAAATGATAGAGATTATAAATCTCCTTGGGGAGGAAGTTCCAAAATCTCGGGTTGCCATCTGCCTAGCCTCAGATCCAAAGCAGGGCCTCCAAAGACAACCAAAGTGGACGGGTTGGTTCATATGCGGACAAGCTAAAGACGAGCAGGCTTTAAGGCTACATGGAACTGTTCAGGAGGGCATTTTAATAATGGAATAGGGATGTAGCAAAATGGAACTGCCCAGAAGGGCACTTTAATTGTCTGTGAACATGTGAGCAGTTCCCCTCCTCCCATATTGCATTGTTTATTGGATGTATTGTATACTTCCCCCCCATTATTTCTCTTAACTATGTAATTCAATTTTATTTTATTGTTTACTGGACTTAGACTGTATTAGACTGGACTTTATTGCATTGTTTTATAATTCTGTCACATCTGCCTTGAGTCTCAACAAGAAAGGCGGACAATTGCTGAAGTAAATAAATGAATTCAGAGGGGATTTTTATTTATTTATTTATTTTTAAATCCCACTGGGTATGTATATGCTTGCCATTGACTAAAATAGCACTGGGTCCTAAATAATACATGTCTGTGACATACCTTTCACTTTATGAAATCATGTTTTCTGTATATATTTTTAAAAGTTCTCTCCAAATACTAGCATGCTTTGAAGCGCTAGTTATTACCCTGTTTCCCCGAAAATAAGACCTACCCCCAAAATAAGCCCTAGCAGGATTTCTATGCATTTGTGGTACAAGCCCTAGTGTGTCTTCTTGACAAAAAGTAAATATAAGATAGTGTCTTATTTTCGGGAAAACACGTTACCTATAAAACACTATACAGCCTGGCTCCACAATACCTTGAAGGATCATATTTTTCTCCTGTAAGAACCTGGCTGCCAATTGAGGTCATCATCAGAGGCCAAATAGTTTTTTGTTATGATGCCAAGGCTTTGGCATTAATTCCCTTCACACTGAAGAAAATCTTTTAGGTACCAAAGACATTTTAATTGTACCATGATATGTAAATTGGCCTTCTGTGAGTGTTCTGAGAGGGCTATTTTAGTCTTTCTCTTTAGATCAGAACATCCCCTTTGTTTTTATGTATTCCCTTGCTGCTGCTTTTACCCCCATTTTTATATTTTGATTATTATTGGCTTTATGATGCTTTTTATTATGTTAGGGCCTCATGAAATGAATGGTTTTTTCTAAAATATGCTGTTGCTGATTTTATGGTGCTTTTAATCTGTTTTTGTCCCTTTATATGCTTTTTATTATTTTAAATTTTTTGCTCTGTTCTGTTTTAATTTTGTCTTATTGTTATTAGGTAGTCTTCTTCTAAATATGTTGCAAACTGTCGAAAATACCATTAAAATAGAATAGTAAACTAAGAATGAAGACATATTTGTCAATATTTTGATACTGAGATTAACAGTAAATTACTGTTTGTGTTGGTTTCCCTATTGGGATAATTTGTTTGGCAAAAGTTGCACTTAAGCAGCTTCAAGTAGTAGACTGGCTTAATGCATTCTTTCCAGCTGTGTGTGTGTGGTTTAAGCAGATATTGCACATGCCTCCTACTGTATCAGTAATTTGGTTTAATTGTTTTTTCCTCTATTAGTCCAGTTTCCCTTAATCAGAGATAATATTTATGAAGCACGGTAGACAGCGAATAATTTGAAATCTTAACCCCCCAACCATTTAAATATTGAGTTGGTATGCAAAAATCCTCTTCACTGGAAAACTGGTAGAACTTTGCTCTACTTGCTGTTCTAATCAAATACAGTCGTAAACATACTACAGACATTAAGCTACTATTGTTTGTCTTTGTCACAGGTGGGATTCTTTCCTAGTGAATGTGTTGAACTAATTAATGACAAAGTTCCTCAGTCCGTGACCAATTCCGTGCCAAAGCCAGGTATGGAGGTATTTATTTTAAACTAATGTATAGAGTCTGACACAGTGCTGATTAAGATCCTTCTTTCTACACTCTCCCACTTTTTTTCCAGCCAGTTCTTTTATCAGTTATTCATATAAAACTATTTCTGTGTATGCAACTATACAAATGCATTTCATTATACAGTTAATGATATTTCATTGTTTTCTCCCCCCCCCCTTTCTTTCTTTTTTGAGTAATGTTTGTTCAGGGTCTCAAGGTGGCTAGATTAGTCATCTTTGAAAGCAGTTTTTAGTGTGGGATGGTATTTGTTCTGTCAGTGTTTCTTTTAAAGTTTCTTAGTGTGGGAAGCTGTAAAAAGTGATCAAGTTTCAGTAGTTTTTCTTTTCCTCTTCAACCTGGTTTCTGATAACTCTTGGGATTGCATTTTATATCCAGGCAGTTCCCTCCCTCCCTGACAATTAGGGCGTTTCTGCAATATTGTACTATGGAATCTTATACACACACACACATGAATAATTAGAGTTAATCTGCTCTTTATTGTAAACTTAGACGAGCAGCAAGATTTCCCTTTAATGCAGAAATGAGAAATTCAGGTCCATTTCCCATTCTACTTTTCTGGAAACCATTTTGAATTAAAATGGCTACAGAGTTTCATGTATTTTAAACATTGATATTGGTAGTCATGGAGATTAGCTGTAATTCTGGGAGAACTCCAGGCCCCATTTGGAGGTTGACAACCATATGCATAGGGAAGTTAATTTGTGTTAACTGTGGGACAATATTAGCAAGCCAAGACACTGTGCAAGGTGTGTCACCAGGTGTTATTTAACTCTCCTTCCTATTTGGCGTCAGAATTCTACAGTCAGTCATTGTTGTACTGTGTTTTAACAATTTGTCCATGTACATAATCACTTTTGAAAGTCAAGGAAGTTCCAAAATAGTTTATTTTGATTTATATCCTGATCAATTCCAAGGGCTCAGGACACCTAACACCAGTGGTAAGTTATATGTACAGGCTGATGTCCTTAAAGAGATCAAAATGAACAGTTGTGCTTGGAGGGGATGGATCAGAGTAAAAACCAATGTTTAAAATATTGATAGCCACAAAATACAATGTCAAATGCACACACAGAGCTATAAGTTCCTTAGTACATGGAGAAGGGTGTATCAGGAGAGGAAGCGTTCTGTTCCGTTGCTCTAGAAGCAGGTGGTGTTTTTGCCTGTTTCCTGCTCTCATTTTCCAGACTCTTAACACAGATGTGGCATGTCATATGGACAGCGGGACAATTGAAGAATACTGTTCATATAGGATCTAGCCAAGATTTGTTTTGGTTCAAAGGTGCAACACAGAAGACGGAAGTGTCTTACAAGCATGGGAAAAAAATTTGAGGCCCAGTGTTTCCAGTCTCACTAGGCATAATTAACAATGACCTGGCTTGCATGCACAATAGTACTTTCCCTAAGGATAAGTTAATTCAGTATCTATAACAGCAGCATTTTGACATCTATTTATTTATTTATATAATTCGATTGCATCCCCCCCTTCCTGCCGAGCTACGTTGGGCTGACTGCATATATTTAAAAGCAGTACCCGAATTCCTTTTGTGCGTGGCTTATAGATGCAGCCTCTTTCATACCACTTGACCCAGTTAACTGGGATCCTGCTTCCTTCTTGCTTTCAGCAGATTGATTACTTAACTTTACAAGTATGGGCAGGATACTTGAGGTCTGTTTCCAGGTTGTGTGAAAGTTTCTTCTACAGAAATAAAGGAAAAAATGAAATGCTAAATAGTTTTAAAGTGCAGATAGATTAGACGAACACATCTGGTAGGGTTGCCAGGCCACAGCTGGCAACACCCCGGTAGCCACAGCTGGCATCATTTCCGGTGAAAACTGAAAATGAAATCATGGGACATTCTAGTATTTTGCAAAAGCTCTATGGTAAAACCATACAGTTTTTGCAAATCCTAGAGTAGCCCATGACATCACTTCCAGTTCTCCCTCTGAGGTGGAGGACATCTTGTGAGGTGGAGCCTCTTGTGGGTAATTCCATCACTTAGGGAGGCAGGACTAATTTCAATTACTTCCTGTTTCCTGTAGTGGGAGTCACCCTAGGCTCAGTTCTTTTCCTGCCTCAGAAGGGAGAGCAGCTAGGTGTAGGCTCTGCCTAACCCTATCTTTCTGAGTTAACTTACTTTCACTTTCTCCTTCCATCTTTGCTGTTCTCTCTCTCTGAAGAAACTTAAGAAAATTCAAATCCTTTTCTTCTTCCTTCCTATATGTTATCCTCTTTTCTCCCCCCTCCCCCTTTGGAGGTTGACCATTGCTGGGCTGGTTGCTCTCTTAATGGGAGGGGGATCTCACAGACCGCCTTCCATGGCATTAAGAGAGGATAGCAATGGATTTCTCTCCACTCCGGAGATAGAGGCCGTGGCGGTGGCCGACGCTCAACCAGCAGAGCAAGGCAAGGATGGCATTCCAAAGCGCGCCAAACAGCTGCACACCCCTGCAGCATTTACAGAGCCCGCGCCAGCCTCAGCGGCCATTTTGGAGTCCACTGGCCACTCTATGCTTTAAGACGGGAATGGCGAGCAGAGCCTAATCCTGCACATGGCGCACCCCGAGACCTATGGTTCAAGGGGGTTCATCGAGCTAAGCGTGATTGTGGCAATAATGCTCAAGGGGCCAAGGAAAATGATGAGTTGCAGAGCGGCGAGCAGAGCCTAATCCTGCACATGGCGCACCCCGAGACCTATGGTTCAAGGGGGTTGATCGAGGTAGGCGGGATTGTGCCGATGATGCTCAAGGGGACGAGGAAGATGACGAGTTGCAGAGCGGTAATGTTGGCAATCCCCGGTCTGTCCCCTTATTTCCAAATGTAATGGCCTGATTTATAAGAGCCATGGAGGAGGAAATAGTGCATTTCTGCAGATCAGGGGGCCATGGGGCTACTATATCCTCCTCCCCCTCCCCCTCTCCTTGGAGGCGCAAGAACAGAGTCAGCTGTCCCACCAAAACTGCACAAAAAGGGTTCCCCAAGGAGTACTGCCTATTTGATCCGCCTTCACGTGAGAGGGATAGCCTCTCACATGTCTCTGGTGAAAAGGAGGGCTACTATATCCTCCTCCCCCTCCCCCTTTCCTTGGAGGTGCAAGAACAGAGTCAGCTGTCCCACCAAAGGTGCACAAAAAGAGTTCCCCAAGGAGTACTGCCTATTTGATCCGCCTTCACGTGAGAGGGATAGCCTCTCACATGTCTCTGGTGAAAAGGAGGGGAGGATTTTCATGTAATGATGGTGAATAGGGGGAAATGATTGTCTCAGACCAGTCTTTTAGATATTTAAAGGGCGAGGTTTTTCAGTATTTGCTGTCTAAGACCCTATCAGCACTCAATATACAGGGACCCCAAAAGGCAGGGGACAAGAGTGCTAATGCCCAAGGGCAGAAAGATGGCACAGAGGTCATTGATGAGTTCTTTCCTCCAGCTAATTGCTCAGAAAGAGCCTTCCTCTCCCCTCAATTCTATGTGAGACAGATGAGAAAGAGTGGGCAAAGCCAATAACAAACAAACCAATTCCAGGGGTTGTTAAAAAGTTGTACCCTTTGATAACATCTGCTTCAGATCTTTTGCAGGTACCTGTGGTTGATGCACCAGCAACTGCCCTACAATCCTCTGGATTGCTCTCTGAAGATGAACATGAGGCCACTTCCATGGTAATCAATATGCCAGCTGCAGCATCCACAGTTTCTAAAGCAACTATTGTGTGGATGCGTAAGTTGATAGAGAGGTTACCATGCAGCAACCGCAGACTACTGGAGGGCAGTGTTCCCTCTAAGCTGAGTTAGTG